ATCAAATAGCCTATTAATTACATTCCAACAAATACATTCAAAGTTAGGACATTAAACAAAGAATCAGAGTTCTAGAAAGTTCTAATCTTAATCTAGAAATTGCTTAACTTTTTTTTTTCTTCAAAAAAGAAAAAAAAATGATGAACCCTTGTCATACTCACTTCTAAAGCATTAACCTAAAGGAATATTTCAATATATTCCAAGTAGGCAAAAGTATTTTCTACATGTCTTTGGTGATGGATTAAAACAAAATAAGAGGATTTGGGTTAAAAAAACAATCTAAGACATGCACAGAGGTAAAAGTGAAGAGGATCCTAACAACTCAGAAACAGCACAAGTTATATGGTAAAACTAACGTAAGAGCTTTTTTGTCTTTATCTTTTGTCATTTAAATATGATGAATCACTGACTTTCAAAGCTTTTATTCACATTATAATATGTGTGGACTTTTAGGGTTATGAATGATTTCTACAAGAAACAGTCACATCCTTATGGTCATTTCCAAATAGAGAATTAATTTGGACTTGGCTCAGGTAAAATTCTATTACCTGTGTATCAAGCTGCAGCAGAAAGTACTTCCCAGGAGAGTCATTATCTTACCTCAACTACCTTTTCATTTGCCATTTCCAGCTGAGAAAGCAGCTCTTGGGTATGAAGTTTCTGTCGACTCAGCTCACTCCTATTAATCAAGAGAGAGGGGGAAAAAAAAGAAAAGAAAAAAAGCCATTAGAATACAACTTTCAAAAATCTAAGAAAACAGAATCTTTTATTAGTGAGATACCTGTCCATGTTTTGAACAAAAATACTACTCTGTGTGCAAAATAAAAGCTGCTTATTAATAGACCATATCTTAAACGACTTGCTCATTTTCTTTATAAAATACACATATACTCTGAAGATTTGTTGTACAACAGTGTGAATACACTTAGCACTACTGAACCATAACATAAAAATGATTAAGATAGTAAGTTTTATATGTACTTTATCACAATTTAAATAATTGCTAAAACTGTACATTTTATGTTACATGTATTTTACCACAATAAAAAAAGCAAACCACCCCCCTCCTCCATACACATTATTTTTTAAAGTGCCAAAGTGTCTTTAACAATATTATCTTGAGGTATTATTTGGCATTAAAATGAAAGTATATTCATATTAAACAGATACAATGTTTATTTTTAAGATTCATATATAGTGCTTCTTAGAGAGGCTCAATTCCTGGAAACTCAAGCTCATATTAATCACTCCAACACCATTTCATAGTAGTATATTCAGGATTAAAATTTATGTTGTGATTTTACATATGCTATATTTTATGCATTCATATCCTTTATGCTTTGTTAGCTGGAATTATCTTATGTACAGAATTGTCGTCTTTTTTTGTTGCTGTTGTTCAACATGTAAGCATTATACTGCTTTTGGCCAAAGGTAATTTCAAGAGTCCCAGGTTAGAAATAGATACAATGTAGTCTTTAAAATAACTTAAAAAAAGATCAAATCAACTTCTGAGTATTAAAACAGTTAATTCAGGATTGGTTTTTATCTTTTGATCTAACTTCTAAAACAAATCAATACACTGACATTTCCAAAACAACCTCAGCTTTGATTTTTTTTTTCCAAGTGAGCCTAAAAACTTGGTAAGTCCGTCTGGTGTCCTATATTTGAGTAGGTAGCTGTTAACACCAGCAAGCAATTTTTAATAAATACATACAAGAAAACAAAAAATAACGTCATCCACAAATCAATTACACAAATATTTACTGAACACTCTTTATGGACAAGTGCAAGGCATGTGGTGGTAAACATACAGTTGTTGCCATAACAGAACTTACAAACTAAGAGGGAAATGACTTATTCTTACTCAGTGGCTTTATCAAAACAGGTCACTGATGATGAAGAGCTTGAGTATCACTGATTCCGTGGCAGAAAACCTCAAACATTTTATCTTAGCTTTATTCTGGTGGTTAATAATAATGTGGAATAAATTACTGTGCTTAAAGTATCTTGTGTAGGTTAAAATTACGGCTGGCTCCTCAATACAACAAAACAAAACAAAGAAAAGCAAAATGACTAATGTGGCCAGTCTTCTAGGTTAAATGTAAAGGTAAAAGATATGCACCTAAGTCCTGACGAGAAATAACCTTTGAGTCCTACAGAGATGTAGATGATACAATGATCATATTTATAAAGTGAGCCATCACCCAGTGCATACGAACCTTTTTCAGAAAACACCTACTGCATAATTTGATGCCTAAACTATTCACTTACCCATGGTAACTTATCTGAATGGTAGTAATAATTTCCAATAATTACTATCAGATAGTAATAATTTTCCACAAAATTTAAGATCACAAAGATACAAAGTTACTTTTTATCTGTGTAAATATTTATTCTATTGTGTATCAAGCGCTGTCACCCACCTTGGACAGTGAGCAACACTGCTCTTCATCATCATGACAGTGAAGGTGACGGTGATGGTGGTGGTAACAGCAAGTGCCCCCACAGTGCTCACTCTGTGCCCAGCACTGTTCCAGGTGCTTTTCATAAGTTAACTTACTTAGTTTTCATGATAACCCTGAGACTCCTATTTTTACATATGAGAAAATTAAAAGACAGAGGAATTTACAAATAAAGTTAAGTAACTTGCCTAGAGTCACACAGCTAGTCAGTTGTAATCAGGATTGAAAAGTGGGCCCTTTGGTTCCAAAGTCTGTGCTCTTAACATCCCCACTGTACTGTGCACCATGGTAGGCGACTGGGCAATGCTAAATGTTTGTTAGATGAGTAAGTGAAAGAGAATGTATGTGTGAATGTGTGTATTAGGCATTCTAGGAATATAAATATTTACACATTTGCTTGGAAACCTGACAAGTTATAGCTTTATTTCTGACTCTTTCCCTAAAGGTTGGCTCCTATATTCAAATTTAACATGACTAACTTCAAACTTTTTGCATAGCTTTGCAAACCTATTCCTCATCCTCCTGCTCAGTTTTCACACTGATGACACTTCTGCCCTCGCTGCCTAGGTTAAAAACCTTGAAGTCAACTCTATTTCTCACTTTTTTCTTGAATGTTTTCCCCTAAATACATTCTTCCTTTGCAGTGTTTCTTGCATCTACTCTTCATTTCTACTCAGTGTTACCATCACAACTCAAGTTCTTATAACGTAATTTTTAGATTTACTGCAGTAGTCAACTGCTCAGGCTTCTCAACATCAAGTGAAAAACGTATGTGAAGCATCTGTCAGCACACACAGAAGTGCTCAGTTCATACAGTAGTTTTCCTTAACTTACACACCACTAGCATATTACTTTCTCTAAAGCACCACTTTAATAATTTGCTTCCTTGAGCAATAATTTCCAACGGCTCTCTGCTATTGGGCAAAATAGTACAAATTCCTGAGACTGGCATTCAAAATCTTCCAAAGTTTTGGGTAATTTATCTTTCCTACCCTGTCTGCAATAGGAGCCTTCCACTTCAGTGAGACTCTCACTGTCTTGCCAACAAATCATGTATGTGCCAACTTTAGGCTAATGTTTCTGTCATTTTTCTGGAAGTACAATGGAAACTTTTAAAAGGGGGATTGTTTTTAGTTTCCACAGTATACACCACAGAGCTTTACACACAGGGATTCAATAACCATTTGGAGATTTATGGCTAAAGTTCTATAGGAAACCTAGTAATTAGAAAATTTTATTCCTTATGTGATCAACAAACAGTTATTGAGGAATCTACCACAAAACATACTTTAGATAAAGATTATTTTTATTTATTTAGATTTATGTATAGTCTACTTCTTTCTCCAAAGGATTTGAAGCGGCTAAGAAAAGGTTATTTTTCAGTTAAGCATTTCCTTCGGTTTCACTTCTGAATGAAGTTTATAAGGTATTAAAGGGTGGAAAGAAAAGTGATTTCACCAGCTTTATCCCCTGAGACTTTCCTGTAGCCTGCCTGTCAGTTCTTTGCAAGTCCTTATTTCCCTGTCAGGATATGTCATTGCAGGGATAAAGGAAAGACCCAGGAGGATGATCCGACTCTGTATTATCTCTGAGAAAATGTCTCTTCATTAGAGAACATAATTGAGAGTTCCCTATATCATTAGTGAATTAGGATAAACATAAAATAAGACTTTCCAGAAAGTTTCTCAGTGGTATTACACTTCAAACACTTGCCAAGTAAAGCTATGTAATCTCTTCACTGGAAATCTTTAAAAACAGAAACATTCTTACCTATCAGGGATGATTTAAGTGTAGCCTGCCAGAAGGTACAGAGATAGAGGACATTTCCAGTTTCTATATGACATTATGGCACTTAAAGAGTATTCTATACTAATTAAAGAATTTAAATGAAACTATATCCAACCTCTCTATAGTTTCTAGCATATGTTATATGTTATAAAATTTAAGGTAAAATGATCTTCTACCAATTTTAATAGAAGAATGAGGAATTCCTTATAATATCCCTGAGGATTGTTTAGCCCATCAGCGTCCTAAATCTTTTTTAGTTCACTTATATAATTCATGTATGCGTGTGACAGAAAATCCTAGACATGCCCACAAAATATAATTTAAAAATTTAGTTGTAAAATATAATTGATTTACTACCTTCTATGTTAGTAAGATTTTACAAAAATAATTTTAGACAAAGTAAATAATGCTGTCTCTATTAAGAAAATATTGGAATCAACACTGGGAAGTCAACCAATCCTTCAGCTGGAGATGGAAGTAGGGGAAGGGGAGCACCTATGGCAAGGGCTCCTCCTCTGTGGTCCACGGATGGGCTCAGGTATGTTCACCAACACCCTGAACTATATGCAAGATCTTCTGTGTTTCCCTTGTCTAGGAAGAAGGTCCACAGATTTCCTCAGATTTTTTTAAGACGTCTGAGGACTAAGGAAGGATAAGGACTTTGGGCTTTTTGCCTGGGATATACAATGATTTTTTTTTTTAAGTATGAGCACATTGATTGGAGTGTTTCAGTGCTGAGTATCTTTCTTACACAAACCACATCCATAATGTATCATCTACAATTGTTCCCACTTCTGGCTTCATTAAGGTAGTATAAGAATTTAAAGGTAATTGGCAAGCAACCCAAATACAGGGTTATTCTAGATTTTTACAATATTCCCTCTATTCTTTCATAGTTGCTTGTTCAGACTTAATTCAACAGCGAATTCTCCAAAGTATACAACTCAGTTTAAAAAGAAACAGTAACTTTCTCTTCTTTGTACTTATACATCACTGGTTTATTTAATTAAATTATATATTTCCAAAACAAGTATAACTGGCATAACGTGGCTTGGGAACAATCACACTGATGCTGTAAAACAAGGGACAGAGGACACTAGTGTGAAGCTGACTAGGTAAGGGTGTGTGGAATGCCTCGGGCACTGGTCAGCACCACTGCACAGAAACTTCACTGGTTAATGTGGTCCACGATTAAGTGGACATCAGCCAAGAGGGTTTTCCACTGTACCTGAACATGAACACTATATCTTATGATTTCTTCAATGTTGCAAAGTAGTTATTATTCTCATCTTCTAGGTAAAGGAATTAAAACTCAGAAAAATTATTTAATGTTGCTAAGGTCATGCAGTGATTGAATGAAAAAACTGAGTTCATACCCAGCCTTTTAATCAAAATGTTCTCTCAACTAAATCACACTGCCTCTCACCTC